TGGTCTCCTTTTGCTCTTTAGTCAAAGTGCTCAGAGGGACCTGGAGACGACATGGTGTAGCCCCTGCCTTCATGGCTAGTATATTATGACTAAAAGTCAGAATATGATATATATTTTAAATTTTTATACTTTTCAGAATACTCCAAATAAATTTCATTATGTGTTTTCTTTAAAATCCTCACCTTTTATATTTGTATTACATTTGCTTACATATGAGTTGACAGAGTACTTTGGAAATATTTTTCTTTACTGTTTTGAAAAGATATGGAGAATTTAAAGCAAATAAGTCCTCTAGGGTACAAAAGCAAAGACCACGTATCTTGTAGTTTCTTGTTTTTGCCTCAGACAAGGGCCCATATTTAGTTCTGATTAGTTAACTGAGAAATCCCTGCCATTCTGTAGGAACAGACCATATTTGATGATCAGTCAGGACCTGGTCTGGTCTTATGGGTACGAATTTGGATGAAGCCAGGCCACTCAGGCCCAGTAGGCCTGGGATTGAACACGGCCCAGAACACCCTAGATCAGGGACAAGGGGGAGGGTTTGAGAAGGGCTTCATCTCAGCTTTCAATAAACCCGAAGGACCAGAGGTTGGGTTTAGAGGACCACTTCAAGACCACAAAGGGAACCAGAAAGTTTTTCTAGCTTCCCAAACCAGGAGAAGGGTAGCCAGAGTTACCTGCCCATCTTTCAGTTTTACTTCCACTCTTAACCCTAACCCCATTCAAGGGGAGAGTTGGGTACTGCTTTGCAACATTCAACGATACTCAGTTTTTTTCAGCACTCTATTTGATCCCTTATAATTCAGTCAAGAATACTGATTCAGCCATATGAGCAATCTAATAAGTTAATAAGAACAAAAATGGAAAAACACTGATGAGTAGGACCAGCTTCAGCACAGAGCCACCGGGATGGTAGGCTCTGATCTGTGAATAGCAGTATGTGAACAGCATTCGAGTCATGATCTGTGAATGGCAGCATAACATTGCATTCCACCACCTGGAACGAGACAGGCCCCTTGAGCGTCCAAAGGAGCGTGACACGGGAAAGGGCCCGAAGGTCGTCATCGCCCTCGTAGAGTCAAGGACAAGGAACCAATAGAAAGAGTAGCTCAGAATAGGAAGAACTTGCCACCATTATCTGAAAATGGAATGAGTTGCTTTGGGAGATGAGCTCCCAGGCATTTAGTTCAAGCAGAAGCTCTGTAGCTATCTGTAGAAGATGTTTCTAATCGATTGGCATAGCAGATGGGGGGTAGGGGTTGAGTTAGAAAACTCATGTCCTCCCAGCCCTATAGTCCTATGAAATACATTTGTATTTTCCCTCTCTATAGAGAACATAATACATTAATAATGAATAGAAATTTGTTTTTAAAACTCAATTAAAATTTTATGTATATATTTTTAATGTCTCAATAGAAGCATTAAAATTGTTTCAATTTTTAAAAAATAAAAAAATGTATCAAATCTTACATCTTCACATGAGTATTCTCCATTGAATTCTTTCGCTGGGAGCCTGTTCTTAATCCAGAATGAATCTTGCCCTGAAAATTGATCTCTTTGCCTTATAAGTACATTTCATTTTGGTTCAAGATTGTTTTCCCCACCTTCATACATTTTAGTTATTATGATTTGGCTTAGTCACTTTTGGTATTTTCAAAAATCAAGTTTAGTCTTAAAAGATTTGTAGGGTAACCATATGGCATGGTTTTCACCTATCTCAACTTAATTGTTAAAAGTACCCGTTCACTTTCATTCTCTAAAATGTTCTGGTTATGTCACTAGTTACATACCACCACTGAGACTATTCAGTAGCTTACTTTGCAAGCTCCAAAGGCAATTCAGAAGAGAAGTTTAAAAATTGTTTTAGTATCAGTATTATTAGACTAGTCTGCAGCTCCATGTTAACTACTTTGAAGGCAGTAATATATCCTTGGATGGAAAAGTTATTTATGATGTATACCTCCTATTTTTTAACCAACCAGATTGCATTTTGGCAATAACTATGATGCATATGTGGGAGTAGCTGAATTGATTAGTGTGTAAACATAAGTTCCTTCAGTGTCATGCAGTAATGAAGTTTGACGAGTGAGTTAAAATGAATTTACCCATGTTTCTTTATTTTTCTTTATTCAGCCTTTTTGTCTACTCAAACAGAAGTATTTGTTGGGCAAATAAATAGTGATTCTCTCTGCAGTCTGTACATGTTCAAAGCCATATTTATGTTACCTGTTTCTGTGATTTGAAAGCAGAGTGTATAATTTACTCTCCTGATTTTTTTTTTTTTTTTTTTAGTTTACCAGTAAATCAGAAGCTCTTTTACTAAAAATACGTGGAGTTATCAACCAGCTGGCATTTGGCATTGGCAAAAGGTACTCAAAATATCTTTTTTAATTTTAATTTTATTTATTTTTTATTTTTAACCTAGTAAACCAAAGGAACAGTCATTAAGATGACACTCAGCAGAAGATGAACAGACATTTTCCCTTTAATCTAAGTATGTAATTACTCTGGAACTGTAGGCATATAAAGTATACGCAGTTATTTTGTTTGCAGATATATAAACCAATGTACTCAAACTCAGTGACCAATGAGCTTCATTGAAATGTTTTTTAGCTTTAGTTTTAGGTCAAAGGAGCAAGTATAAATAAAAAGAAACAAATTCACACAAAGAAATTATTTACTAAAAGCAATACATGCTTTTATAGGTGGAATGAAAGCTTATCTGTGTCTTTCTTGCATCTTCCCCATCTACACATATAAAGTGTTAAACCATGAGAGTGGCTGTAAAACTGCAGCAAAGTGACACTGTGAAGTCCTTAATTAAGAAATGTTGATTATGTTTAACATTCCATTTTTCTTATGATGACAAGAGAGCAATAAAATATCTGATATATAATTTTAATCACAAGGTTTGAAACCAAAGGGTAGCATATAATTAATAAAGTTAAGCTAAGCACTCTACTTGATTGAGGTTTAAAATGGTGCCCGGCTGGGCGTGGCTCAGCGGTTGAGTGTCGACCTAGGATCCAGGCGATCGGGGTTCGATTTCCCAGTCAGGGCACGTGCCGGGGTTGCGGGCTCAATCCCCAGTTGGGGGCATGTGCGAGGCAGCCAATCAATGACTCTCTCATCATTGATGTCTCTCTCTCTCTCTCCCCCTCTCTTTTCCTCTCTCTGAAATAAAGATATATTTAAAATAAAATAAAATAAAATAAAATAAAATAAAATAAAATAAAATGGTGCTGAACTTTGAGGTTTATCATCATTAGGGCTTATTTTTTAAAAACTGCATGAAGGTAACTATATATTTGAGGATGTGGAAAATTTTTTTCATGTTTTTGTTTTAATTTTTTTAGTCTTTATTGTTGAAAATATTACAGATGTCCCCTTTTTATCCCCACTGATCCCCAAAATGTGTTTTTTATATATTTTTATTTTATTAATTTTTGGCCAGTATTGTCTCAGCTGACTATTGTTCTCACCAGCCTTTTGTTTCTTGACCAGGAAAGTGCCCCAAATTTCTGTTCTTAGATAATTTTATGTTATCTTTTGCTTCTTATATTCTTTAAATATTTCTCAGATTGACAACGAAAATGTTATAGAATACTTAGTTTGATACTAGGCTAAAATGATTCTATTATACACCTTTCCCTGATTTCTTTTACTTCTTTCCCCTCATTTTAGTAGCCTTCCTTTATCATCACTTTCTTAATTGATTATAAGTGGAATAAACAATATTTTTATGTAATTTTCTTAACCTCGCTACTTTTCTTGGTTTTGATTTAAGGTAATTTGTAGCTGTCACTTTTTTTCTCCTGTAAAACCTTTATTAATGCTCAGCTTTAAGTTTTGAGATCACTTACATGGATATTCACTCCCTCCCCTGGGGCAGCGCTCTCGCCAGTGGCTGGATGTAAAACTTGCCTCTTGTGCTTGCAGTGGCGTGTGGCAGGGTATTCCACGGCTAAACTAAATTGGATTCTTTTTTCTCCTTACGCATGCAGCAAATCAATATGTGTGGATCAGAATAAGCCACTGTTTATCACGGCAGGATTGGATTCTTTAAGTCATATAGGTTGGTGAACTTAATTAAGTTCAATCTTTTTTTAATTGCTTATTGATTTCTGTCCTATTCCATGTTCACTTCGTCTCCAACATCCCAGCATTTCTGGTTTCATTATCGTTGCTGTGATTTCTTATTATTTACTTGTATACACAGTGTTGCTGCAGTACATCGATGTGCAGTGTGAAATCCTTCATACACGTTTGCAAGTGTTTCAGGGTGAACACCAAAAACTGGAATTGCTCATTAAGAGAGCATGACCTTTTTTAGTATTTTAATAGTATTTAGTGGTGCCAAATTACCCTCCAAAGTAGCTGTCCAAATTTGCACTAACCAGCAACACACAAGAGTATCTTTTTTCTTACAAATTCACATGCACATGAGAATATCAAACTTTTATATTTTTGCTGGGTGGCAGTTGAGGTGTGGGGAAAGAGAATTACAGTTTACTCATTACTGTCCCTTCTTCCAGTACTGGAACCTTCCTTGCTACACTGAGTTGGGGTAAATTTTAATTGTGACTATAATAGGGAAAGGGACATGAGTGATCTAAGATTTATACTGTTAGAAGTGTCATCAGTTTTACTGATAGGATTTAAATGTTTTAATCAATGCAGTCATTGGAGCAAATCTTCCAATTTTAGGATCACCTCCTGTTCCTGATAATGACATTGGAAAGTTTAATGCCCGTTCACCAATGGAACTGTGGAAAAAAGTGTATGAGAAGCTCTTCCCACCAAAGGTATATATTTCTAACTCTTTTAAAGCAAGAATTTTTAGCACTTACAGCAGTTATTGGGAAACGTTCCAATGGGCCTATTATAACAACTTCATTTTCAACTCTTGTGCTCAAAAATTAAAGTCACTTAAAATCTATTGTATGTGAGGCACTGTAGGTGTTCAAAGGTGGGTTAAGACACAGTTCTTTTTTTAAAAAAATTATCTTTGTTGTTGAAAGTATTACAGATGTCCCGTTTTCTCCCCCATTGATCCCCTCCACCTCACATCAGCTCCCCCTTCCCCCAGGCCTTCTCCACACTATAAGATGTAGCTCTTGCTCCGCTTTCAGACAGAGCTCTCTGGCTATTAGACAAGGGAGAGACAATCATCTGAAAGGAGAGGAGGGAAAGAGGACCTGGTGGAATTTGAAATGGCCCTCAGTAGTGATGATAAAAGATCATAGAGAGCCTTCATGGCTGGCTGAGGAATGGGAACTTGGTTTGTGAGACAGATAGTAGGCATTGAAGGTTTTGAGTTATGGGCATGAAATGATTTGAATTATTGTAATTTCAGAGTGTCAACACACTGAAAGATATCAAGGACCCTGCAAAAGACCCTCAGTATGCTGAAAGTGAAGTTGATGAAATGAGAATTCAGAAGGATCAGGTATTATCCTAAACATTTATTTCATCTTGAATTATCACAAAAATACCTGTAGAATTCCATAGATTTTTCTCAATTTATTTAATTTTTTTTTACTTTATAATTTAAATAGTACATCTTCACTATAGAAAAATGGAAGTCTAATATATATCAAGAAGGAATTAAAAATCACCTATCACTCCACCACCCAGAGATAACAATGTTCACATATACTTTTTGGGTTTTTCAGCTTATATGGGTAGTGATTCTTACCTTGCTGCTGGGAGACACTATTATAATATTCTTTTGTTTGTGGAATTATTTAAAAGGGCTTGTTTTTAATTAGGACATTTAGACATACCTATACTTTCTTGTACCAGAAAAATTAAGTACTACCCAATCTGAAAGCACACAAACCATAGCTAACAAAATCCAGGATCTCTCAGAAAAGTGGTTAAAAGTGGGGGCTGCATCCCACATATGCTCAGACAGCACTGTCTGTGATACTTAAGTCTGATGTAAGAATGCAAAACTTGGTAAATTTATCATGACCCAATATTTAGATTTTCCATGATCACCTTTTTAGTTTGATAAAATGAGACATTGTGTAGAATCTGACCTTATATAATAAGTAAGCTTATGTACAGTAAACACTATAAATTGAATGACCTCTCAGGAGGGATTTGTAGAGCTGTGTTACTTGGGCAGTTACTTTGTTTCAAGGATAACCTGAACACAACCAGTCACTGGGTATTTTTATCCTTTTGCCTTTAAGCAAAACATTTTATTTAGATATAGTCCAGAAGACTTTTGAAAAGTATGTCATGAATTTTTAGAAGGATTGTAGCTATAGCAAAGTAAGAGGCATGTTGCAATCCCTGTCAAAATTCCAATGGCATATTTCACAGAAACCAATCCTAAAATTTGTATGGAACTACAAAGATCCCAAATAGCCAAAACAATCTTAAAAAAGAACAAAGCTGGAGGCATCATGCTTTCTGATTTCAAACTATATTAGAAGGTTTTAATAATTAAAACAGTATGGTGTTGGCATAAAAACAGGAGCATAGATTGATGGACCAAAATAAACTCAAGTATATATAGTCAATTGATTTATGACAGAGGAGCCAAGAATATGGGAGAAAGGACAGTGTCTTCAATAAATGATGTTGGGAAAATTGGACAGCCACATGCAAAAGAATGAAACTGGACCACTATCTTACACCATACACAAAAATAAACTCAAAATGGACTAAAAAATACAAGACCTGAAACCATAAAACTCCTAGAAAAAACGTAGACAGTAAGCTCCTTAACATTGGTGACACTAATTCAAAAAGATACATGCACCCCCATGTTCACTGCAGCAGCATTTACAATAGCCAAGACGTGGAAACGACTTAAGTATTCATTGACAGGTGAATGCATAACACACACACACAGAGGAATATTATTCAGCCATAAAAAAAAGAATGATATCTTGCCATTTATGACATGGATGGACCTTGAGGGCATATGTCAGAGAAAGACAAGTACCATACGATCTCACCTGCATGTGGAATCTAAACAACAGCAACCAAAGCCGAGCTCATAGATGGCAGAGAACAGACTGGTGGTTGCCAGAGGAGGGGTGGGTGATAAACCAAGTAGGTGGAGGGAGTCAAAAAGTATAAACTTCCAGTTATAATATAAACCATGGCAATATTCAGCATGACAAATATAGTTAATAATTGGGCTGCATATTTGAAAGTTGTTAAGAGAGTTGATCTTAAAAGTTCTCATCACAAAAAAAATCTATTTGTTGACAGATGTTGACTTAATGGTGGTGATCACTTCACAATATATAGAAATATTGAATCATTATGTTGTACACCTGAAACATATAATGTTATATGTCAATTATACCTCAATTTCAAAAAAAGGTGAGAGGCATGTTGTAAGAACAGTAAAATGACCTCAAGTAACCCTTATTATGTGTGCATCTTGGCTACAGAGATTAGTTGGAAGGCGTCCCTGAATTAATATTTACCTAGAAGTCAGTGAGTAACTGCCATTGTTGATAAGAGTGTCTGTTTATATTGCATAATGATCCCTTTTATTACATTTATATACATAAGTATTGTTAAAGGGATAGCGTATTTCTGAGTATCATGAGTTTTCACATTCAAATCTGTCTTCCCTAACTGACCTAAAATCATAGAATTTTGAGTTCAACTGGAAAGCAACCCCACAATACCTATAACATTCTTCACGCAACTCTTGTACCACACTGCTATCTCACTAAATTCTGTACTCTCCCTAAACATGTAAATCAATGTGTGTGTGTGTTTAAATTATAGGCCTACTGATTATAAACAAGTTGATTTTTAAAAACAGGGTAGATAACTGGTGAACTGAATAACCTTCATTAGAAAAAATAAACTAATTTGGAGTTATTAGTATAAAAATTCTTCCAAAGTCCTATATAGTTTTGAAACTTTGAACATTTAAATTTTAATGACTGCCCGGCCGGGTGTGGCTCAGCGGTTGAGCGTCGACCTAGGATCCAGGCGATCGGGGTTTGATTCCCGGTCAAGGCACATGCCCGGGTTGTGGCATGGCAGCTGATCAATGACTCTCTCATCATTGATGTTTCTCTCTCTGTCTCTCATTCTCCTCTCCTCTCTCTGAAATCAACAAAGATATATTAAAAAATAAAATAAAATAAATTTTAGTGACTTAGAGTATAGGTATGAATGAGGCAGTCTGCAATTTTTCTGAAAATGAGACTAGGATTTTCTCTTCATAGCAACTATGAACTTCAATTATGTTAGCCAAAGGGCAGTGATTGCTTTATCTTGTGGGGTAACCACTTTTTGCTCATCTGAAGTAATATCTTACTTGGTACAGTTTAAACATTGAACAACATGCAAGAGGCTAGGAGGAGACATTCCCTGAGATGATACCTTTTGCATGTCAATGGTCTCATGCAGGATTTCCACTCCCACTAAAATTTATCTTTATGAATTCTGATAGTTACAAAATAGCTTCAGGTTGTACAGCACAGGGAATATAGTGAATAATATTGTAATAACTATGCACGGTGCCCGGTGGGCACTGGAAATATCAGGGGAGTCACTTCATAAAGAATATGACTGTCTAAGCACTATGCTGTACACCTGAAACTAAAACAAAATAATATTGACTAAACTGTAATTGAAAAATAAAAAGTTAAAAAGAGTAACATATACCATTGTGAAAAAAATTCAAAAGATACAGCAGTATATACAATGGAAAATGCAAGTGTTCTGCTCTCTCTCCATCTGTTTGCTGGTTTGACATATGACCGCGTTAGTTTTTGCTGGCTGGGTGTGAGTGGGTGCTGATGTAGTAATCAGTCTTCCTGGGAGATAATCTAAGCTCTTTCCAATTGTGTGTCGATATATGTAGTGCAGGGAATGTGCTGCTGCTTATATCCCTGTGCTCTTCTGTATTATTCTACGTGGTGAGTACCTTACGGTAGCCCTGCTGGGTCAAAGCGTCTGTACATTTCAATAATGATACTTTGCTGACTTCAGGCAGGTTTTGACAAGAGTTGAACAGCAAACAATAAAAAATAAGGTCCCTTTTCAGTACTTAAAGTATGACAAATACTTTATTTTACTAATTGAAAGATAATTTGTATATACTATATAGAATGTAATTTCATCTGAAACTTTATTAAATTCATCTCTAAGAGCTGCTTAAACTACCCAGAAACTCCAAAGCCTTTACATTCTAGAAAATAAATACTAACTATTATCACTTACAAAATAATTGTCAAGAAATTCTGAGAATGATAATACTGTAAAGGATACATTGTTATATCTAAAACTACTAAGGGAGTTTTAAGATGCCTAGTTTAATTTTTAAAGTTGATTTTTTAAAGTACTATAATATATATTTTTGTTTTAGGAACTGGAACAGTACAAAAGAAGTTCTTCCAAGTCTTGGAAACAGATTGAGCTGGATTCTTGAAACTAACTCAACTACAGTGTATTTATTTTTTTCCCCAAATACAAGTAAGATTATTTTATTAATATTAGCTAATTAATAAATTAGTTATTGTGTAGTTAATAAAGAATATTAACAATAGCTAATTAATAAACTAGCTGTTGTAATAAGTGAAGAAAGTTAAGACGTGTAGTTTGGTAAAGGAAAAGTGAGTTTCTTGTATTAGTGCCACCCAAGGGTACTTGTGTTTTAAAAGGGGGAAAAAATGTATAACTGTGTAATATTTTTTTAAAAATAAAAATCTACTACTACCTACCTCTAACATGGCTAAGTCACCTATCCTTGGTTCAGCATTTATGTTCTGCTTACATGTTTTCAGGAACATGAAAGCAAGAGTATTTAGTAACAGAATAAGGTTAAGTGCTCACATAGACACATTTCTTTGGAGTTCTCAGCTGTGGCTGAAAGGAAACTGGAATTGAGTTCACTTTCACAAGCATCTAATTTTATTCTAATGGTGAGGCTCAAAAAACACCTGAAATGTATTAAAATACACGTTCCTGAGTCCCCACACCCAGAAATCTGGAGTCAGTGAGTCTGGAATGGAACTTAGGAAACTGCATTTTTAATCAGCACCTCCAGTGATTCTGATGTTCCTTTTTGAATATACCTTTTTGAAGAACAGGCAGTTTTAAGGAGATATTCTGTCAATAAGCAGACCAAAATTTGATGAGTTGGTAATAAACAAAATTATTCCCAAGGTGGAATCACTTTTAAGAAGCCTTCTCAATCTTGTAGGTTTATGTACCTGCTGTCCAAGTTCAATTTGGAGCAAGTATAATTCCTCTTATTAACCAGGAAAGTTATTTACTCTGTGTTCTTCCATTTCCACTGTAAAATACGTTGACTCTGACATGTCATGCACCAGCTTCAAATAAGCACACCTGCTAACCCCAAGAACACTAAGGCTGATGAGTGGTATCTGAGTGAACAGCAGGCTACCTGATTATTGCCATGAAATAAGACTTCCTGAATCAGATGCCGTGCGTGTGGATCCAGCACTGTGGAGAGCAGGATTCGCAGCACGTCTCTAAGGAACCTCAGCTTAAGGGGCTGACAGGCGCCATGTCTGAGTGCTGTGAAGAGCGAGCTCCCTTTAAATCAACAGCGAACGTTGCGCTCTCAGAAACATCATTGAATTGGTGGGAAGAAACAGCCCACTCCGCTATAATAATAGGAATTTTTATTATATAATTTGATTTTCTTATACATCACTGTCCGTTTTCAACTTAAGACACAAACTGTCACATATTGAAAGTCATTATGTTTCTCTGAGATGGTATCACTAACATTTAATAGCTTGAAGTCACGTGCTATGTCAATTTTCCAAATGTTTCTGAGCCTAGAATGAAATTCATCTGCATATGAATGGTAGAAAATGTTTCCACTTACATTGTGCACCCATATCTTTAGTAGGTTGAAATTAGTGATTTCTAAAGAGGTTCCTGTGGTACTCTCTCTGAACTACTTTAATAGATTATCATCTCCAGAATTGTCTATAACTGATGTGACATATATAATCTGTAAGGCATTATGTAACTATTACACCATAATCATCAGTGTCAAAGACCTTTTATAAAAATTGACAATACTATTCTGGTAATTTACCAATGTCTCCAGATCCTTAAATACTGTTCAAAGAAATTGAATTTTACTGTGGTTTCCTTAATGAAACGATCTTTCCTATTATAATGTGAGACATTTCAAATGCTATAATTTATCATTCTTTACAAGTTAGGTCATAGTAACTGAACAAGTTTTTGTACTCTCTAAGATATTTTCAGAGTTACCATGGTAACATTGAGACAGTTTTATTTCAGACTTATACATGAATTACTTGAAGATCAATCAGAAAGATAACTAGTTATTTAGTATACAACCCATTTATATACAATCTATATACAACATCTGATACCTAAAAATATGTAATATAGGTATTTGTATTTATCAGCACTCTATCTCTTTACAACTCAAGAACATGAACTCCCAGTGTGTAACCCTGTTCTTCTGAGTGTAGACATTGTGTCAGTTGAGCATCTTTTCTATATGGACTTTAGATAATAGCTGCTCTCCAACCTTAAAGATGCCATTTCTCAGTGCATACACTTTATCTAATAACATTTACTTTTAATTTTTTAAGTAAACTAAGTGGAAAGTGAAAAATAGACAACTAATCGTTAAAAACATTACCGGAGGTTCGCCTGGTGTGCCGTGTTCTCAGTTCGGCCCATTCCTGAAGCTTTTCATTGTAACCCATTAAACCACTGAGTGCTCTGAATCAGTGGTCATCATCATCCAACATCTGTCCACCATCCTCTCCACGTGACCAGGTACCTCAGAACCCTCACGTGGATATGGGCACATAATTATGGGGTTTTAAAGGAGAATGAAAGCATTCTTACCCAATTCTGCGTGATGCTTTGCTTTAATCACACCCACAACTCCCTTTTCTGTTACTTAGTAACTGTTCAAATGTTTTCTTTTTACTGAATCCTTTATCAAACATAAGCATAATTTTTTAACTAACCTATTTTTCTGTATAAAGCAAAGAAAACAAATAATACAGTCTCTATAACTTTATGAATCATTGTTATCTACATTTTTGGACTGGCTTAGTCACAATTTCCAATTGCCACATGTCCCTGCAAGTTGGAATGGCATTCAAGGCCTGCATGGACCCAAGGGCATGGAAGGAGTCTTAATGCTTTAAAAGACTTCAGATGTACTATCAAGAAAGAAACGCCTGGCATTCTTATTTCAGACATTCAAAGCAGCCATGTGAATCTAGGAGCTTAAGTCCCATTTTCACAGCAATGTGCTTTACTATCTGCTAATGAGATAATCCCTTACTTTAAAAACAACTATTCCTAGGATGACAAGAGCTGGGATAAATGCATACAGAATCAGGAAGTCTGCTGTGAATCTGGATGTTGCACCCGGGCTGATTCTCTCAATGAACTGAATTCCTTGATTGAAGGCACACATTGGATTAGTTGTCACAGAACCATTTGAGTTGCCTGCCAGGGAAAAGATCAACATTGTGAGATATGGCATTTGGTAAATAATTGCTGATTAAGAAGTAATTTCATTAGCAAGTATTTACCAGATTCCCACTAAGAGCTTAGCACCCTGCTAAGTACCCTTCTTCATGAAAGATACAGGACATTTGAGGCAGCTTTGAATTCATTATTAGATGAAGCAACAGTGAGCATTCTGGACCCTGGCTCCATTTGAAGATGGAGATGGGTTTGTTTCCATTTGGGGTATATATTCATTCCCACGGCACTGATAAAAATCATAATCACTTATGATCACTTAGCACTGAATATCCTAAGGTTATTAATGTTATCACCTAAAGATATTAAAACAACTATTAAATTCTACCCTACTCTCTAGTTGTCTTCACAGAATGGCCTGGATTTCCGATGGCCAGGAGGACCTTGTTATGCTCCCACTGCCCTCTCCTGGGGTTGGGGAACAGCCTTTTGCCAAAAATGGCTTTACTCGGCTCCATACTATGTGCATTTGGGGAACAAGAAGACACTGCACCCAACTTCAACCTGCTCAGTAGAAACTGATCCCAGCAGAATATGCCAGAGTTTACCTCTGTGTGCATCAGGGCTGCCATTTCATGTATATACATACTTGAGAGAGACAGAAACATCGATTTGTTTTTCCACTTATTTATATGCAGTCATTGGTTGACTCTTTTTGTTGTTAATCTTCACCAAAGAATATTTTTTCCTTTTTTTTTTTAGAGAGAGTGGAATGGAGGGAGAGAGGGGGAGAGGGGAGGGGTGGAGCAGGTCTGTCATTTTCTAAAAACATCAGAGTGGCCTTAAGCTATTGACCTTTGACAGGTGTCTAATTTGAACACTGCTTATTTCATTTAAAAAAAAACATAGAAAATGTTATACTCTTATATCAAAGCAAAGTTTCAAGTCTACTTATTACAAGACATAGCTTTAATTTAAAAAATACATTTCCCTCAGGAAATTGCTTCCTCAGAATGATATGTAAAAATAATATTCCAAAATAGAATACTTACCACAAGTGAAATTACGTCCATAGAACTCATTGACTACAAGAATCTCACAGCAATATTTTTGAAATGTAAAGTAAGTGAAGATTTTAAAAGGAATGGGCATTTCTTCTATGTTCCTTAAGTAAAAGAAAAAGAGAAAGATGAAATTCAATAGGCTCTGGTCATAGTCCTACCAAATGAAAAGAAAGGCAACCCTTATTTTATGTTTGCCAACACAAATACAGCTTTTCATCTCCCATGATAAAAATCCTCACTATAAAAAACTTCAAACAATACTGAGAAGTATAAAGAAATACCAGTGCCCAGAAAGAACTATGGTTAACATTTTGGTGATACATGTGACACATGTGTTCAATGGAACATGTGTTCCATTTTACATAAATGGAATCCAGCTCTTCATGCTCGTTCCTAACCTGCTGTTTTCAACCAGACATGTCTCAGACATCCTTCCAAGTCAGTAAGCATAGCACTCTGTCATCTTAAGTCACAGCTTGGTGGTTGATTATAGCAGAAACTTTAATAATCAATCCCTGATAAAGGATTGGTGTTTAAATTTTTGGTAAGCACCATTGATATAAAAGAAAAAACATACCTAACACCTATCACATTAGAGGTGGATATCTGTAATTAAACATAGTTGAGAGTGCTAGTATGTGAAGAGCTAACCTACCACACAAGGGAAGGTGGAGAGAGCAGGCAATCATTGTGAAAATGAACCATCTCCTCTCCAGCCTGTTTCAGGAGAAACCTCATGGCGACCTTGTGAACTTCTTGTCCACTACATAGCTTCGATCAATCAACAAATATGTATTAAATTCTTCCTATTTGCAAAGCACTAGTTCTAAGTGCTTGAGGAAGTCTAAGGAAGTATCCTACCCTTCAAGAACTCACAGTGTCGGTAGGGACATAGACTTTATTTCCTTACGACTCTAAGAGTACACAGTGGTGAGTGCTATGTGCCTAGAAAGTATTTAAAAAAACCAGTAGCATGTGTCATAACATCCTTGTATTTAATATTTATGGTTTTGGCTATTCCCAAGTGTTTCCAAGTGACCCCCAAACTCTATGACTTTCAGTTCTTGGCAATTTTCTAAGGCACAAAATTGGATTAGCCATATTGAGAGACTGCTAACTGGGAGGGACGGGTAGGAACTTGGGGAGGAAGCAGGGAAGAGGCAGGTACTCTGGGAAGGCAGAGTGGTTACGAGCGCAGGCTTGACGGGCCGCACGGGGGACGGACTGGGCTGGGAAGGCTGGAGCAGAAGATGGGAAGTGGGAGCAGCGGGAGGTGAGTTTGGAAGGACAGCCGAGAGCCAGCTGCTTCAGGGCCTTGCAGTGGATGGACGCCGAAGGACCATGAGAGAGATCATGTTGAAATCAGTGTTTCCAGAAAACGTGGAATCGGCAGGAGGGTAGACCAAAATAAGGGCATATCAGGGACAGCGAGAAAGGGGGTAGGCTGCAGCAGAAGCTCGAGTGGGAGACGATAAAGGCCGAGAATAGGGTGGCGGACAGGATGGCGGCCCCGCCGGCTAGCGTGTTACCTCCCCGAGGTGGGAACCGTCTGCCTTTAGCTTGTACTGCACCGCACAAGGCGAAACACAACGTAAAAGCCCCAAATCTGTGCTTCGTCATCAGAGAAGAAAACCAACATTATTTGATGACAAGTCTACGGCGAGGCAGTCCAGGGAGAGAGCAGTCATCCATCTATTCACACAATTCAACAAATACGCTTTGCAAACCTAACCGGGCTGGCCACTGAGAAGAACTGCGATGGTGAGTGAGACGGGTGCTGCCCTCAGGAGGCTGACAGTCCATTAAAAGAAGCCTGCAACACGAGGCTCACATGGGCTGAGAGAGAGAAGAAAGGGGGAGCTCATCGAGCCAAGGGAATGATGGGAGGCTTCGTGCAGGTGGCAGAACAGGCACAGTAAGGGACATAGGAAGAGAGCCAGGCTGGCACAGAAGCCTTTGGAGAACTTTCCAGAGAGAGGGGCCCACACTGAAGTGTGTTGAAATGGCACTGTCCATGTTATCGCGTTAAATGGCGGGGGGGGGGGCATGCATACTTTACCCCTTCACAATAGTATGATCTCATTTCTTTGAAAAATTATATAAATGTCTAGCAAGATACACAACAAAATTTAACTCTGGGTTGTGATACTTCAGGTAACTTTTACTTTCTCATACATTTCGGTTTGCTGTGCATCCCTGCCCCTGAGAACTCGCACGGTTTTGTAAGCAGAAAGGACAGGGAAGGTATTTCCAGTTGTGTTTAAAGTAAGAGGCAGCCAAACGCTCAAATGTTGCAGGCAGTCATCCAGGAAAGATGATGCTTGAGGGAAAAATATAAACTTAATGGCTAGGAGGTTGATGTGGTTTTTCAAGAGCAGAGTTTCAAGATGAGAGTGGAACCCCAGTGAAGCCTTGAGATGCTGAGATTTTGCAAAGAACCCAAAATCATTTGTTAATGTTGGCCACTGCCTCTCTTTTAAGAACAATTAATCCCTTTTTCCTACAAACCAAATACATGAAATATTGCCAGACCGATTGGAACCTGTAATGATGGAAATATGAAAGGAGATGCTGTCCAAGGCCCGGTCTATACCTCGCTGGCTTGATTCCATGCCCTTGGGGTGATTTGATCTGTGCATTTTTCATAGACCCCAGTGATCCACTTAAGCACCGGAGACAAATACAATGTAATGGTGTTGTTATAAAAAACAAACCAACCCCTGCGTGACTGATCAGACCCCGGCTCGCTTAGATTTATAATACCTCGCCTTTGTATAGCTCATTTCAGCTTATGAAGTGTTTTCACATCGATTATGTCATTTGCTTCTCTCTCAATCCCTTGAGGGATGTGGGACCGAGATCACGATCTCCACTTTGTAAATGAGGGAACTAATTTAGATAGAAAAGTGACCTGCCCGTGGGCATTTGGCAGCTAAGTGGTGGAGGAAGTCTCTGACGGCAGGGCCGGTCCTCTCCGGGCAGCAGCCTGCATCCCCGGGCAGCCTTCACAGTGGTGCGACTGGAGCTAAGCTAAATCCGAGGTTAGTTTTCTTCCTGAACGTGGATTGTTCTGAGATTAAATAACTAAGCATACAAATATAATTTAGATGCTCTATAGCTTTTTTGTTTATTTGATTTTTAAGTCAAAAAACGGCATCTTCACATTTCCTCAGGGACCCATAGTTTACTTACTAGATCCCACTCAGGTCACCTGCCTCGGATCACTTTTACCCTTCCAAAATTTTCCATCCTTCCTGCTACTACTCTTGTATGTATTTTTATATACTTTTATTATTCTATTTTTCTATTATTTATATATTTTTATTATAAAATATTTCATTTATATTGTATATATTATTTATTTATTTATTTATTTATTTATACGTCTTTTTCTTGGTTATAAAATGATGCCTGTCCATTATGAGAAAATTCAAAATATAGGAAAATATGAAGAAATAAAAATCTATCACCCAGAGCTAATTACTGTTAACATTCGTTGCCTGTCTCTAGTCCTGGTACTTCCTTGAGCAGTCTTGTATCCTGCAGGCTCTCTTATCTGACTGTTCTCACTTCCTAAAAGAAAGTGAGGATTGAGAACTGGAGCAGAGACTCAGCACTGCAGAAGCAAAAATGAACTAAACGCGTGCTATTGAGCTTGTAAAATAGGCCGAGGGTTTTTCTAGATTGGTTTTCCTCCTATTATTACAATGGCTTATTACATGTGAATCATATTGATAACATGCCTAAATTGTCATTTCCTGATTCCTGATGTGAGGACATAAAAAATGGTGAAGAGTTTAAGGTCTAAGCAATGATGATTCACGAGCACTATAAATACCCCGGACTATAAGGCGATACCTTCAACTAGTGTCACATAGCTCTTCTCTGGAATTCCTTAATAGTCATTACCGGGTGATCATTAACAACAAGTCACACCAACCCGAATCCTTTGACTCACCTCAGGAATCCAGATCCCACCAGCACCCCAGAGATGCAGAGCAGAGCCACTACACTGTTGACCACATTTGGATTCTGGACCATTCCAAGTAGCACCAGAGTTAGAAATTCACCAATTAAGTGGGGAGCCAGGAGAGCAGCAGAGAAGTACCCAAATCTGGCAACCTCGGGGTATAAGCCCAGAGTCCTAAAAAACACACAAGATCTTCCATTTGTCTCCAAGGGTTATCATTTAGGAAAAATGCCACACTTGGCCTTCTATGAATGAGTCCGTGGTGGAGAGTGGTGGGGAAGAGGGCAAGTCAAACTCCCCTATCAAAGGCCTTCTGGGAACAGAGCCAGCATCTAAGACCTTCTATTATCGTCAGTTGCTTCTGTTGGCTCCAACTCAATGTGAGCCACCTTTTCCCATTTGCAGCCCCTTCAGCTCTCCTAGGAAAACAGTCACAGCTAGCTGCCAGGAGGAGGCTGCTGACTCTCCAGGCTTCTCGGTAACTAGCCATGCTCTCCCTCGCTGGCGCGGCTCCTACCCGAGCTAGCCCACTACCCTGATGCTAGGGCTCACCCGGCCTGCCTCAGCCCGCCCCCCTGAACGGGACTCACCCGTTACGTGGGGCTGCTGACAGTGTGAAGACCCTTCACCGCTTTCATCTTCCATCAGGCCAGCCCTCCCCAGGTCTACTCCATTCCCATCTAGCCTTTTGTTCTCCAACCCTTCCCATCCATTTGACCTTCATTTTCTTGTAAATAGATTACCCTATATCCATGCCCCTTAGCGCTTATATTACTTTCGCCAAATAGCATTTCCCTAGTGAGAGCATCCTCAACAACCACTGGACATGCTGCTCTTTTCTCCATTTGTAAGACCAATGCCCCTGCTCCTCCTTCCCCTGCAATGCCCTGTTCCCCTCTCCATCTGTTGAAATGCTGCTGTCTCTCGAGTTCTCCTCCATAAAGCCTCCAAGAGTCCCTCTCCCCACCCAGCCAAGTACTCTTGGTCTCATTTGTAATTTACTTGGGATAATGGGCGTGCTGTGGGGAAGACCACTTATTCCATCTGTGCCTCAGTTTCCTTGCCTACAAACAAGGATAACTGTATCACCTTTATAGGATGGCTGCAAGGATTACGTGAGTTAATATATTTAAATCTCTTAGTGCCTGTCATAAAGCAAGTGCTCAATATGTGCTAGCTATTATTTATTATTATTATTATATTGCTCAGCATAGTATTTGTGCTTCCCTATAATACTAATCTTAAACTTTCTTGAATTAAAGTCATGTGGAGATTTGCTTATGTCCATAACCCATTATTTGAAACAAATTAGGGCGAGATGGATTTTGGAATGTGGCAATTTACAGATTCGCGGAAGGTTTGACACTGCACAGACCACACTTGCTGCAGTGGGATCTGGGGCCCCGCTCGTAATCAGACATGTTAATATTCCTACTAAACAGGAGCACTGATGCGGGAAAAATACCAAAAAACCCTCATGGTTCCCTACCCTGGAGCTCTCCCTCTATGGTCCCACTGCCTGGATAGGACCCCAGGGGAGGCCTGACCCCGAGGACCGAACACCTGTGCACACCCCTTACCAGTAGCTCACGCTGCTGAAGATCACGGTGGCAATGATGCTGAAGGGGAGGACATGCAGCACATAGGCCAGCAGCATCTGCCACTTGTGGTACAGGCCGTCCTGGCTCTCCTGGTCACTGACAGCTCGCAGCACAGGAACTGGGCACAGAGGGCAGGTTGCAGACAGTGGGTCACCACAGGGCGAGGGAGGGAGGGCTAGCCCAAGCTGAGCCTGAGGTCTGTTGGAGCTGGACGGCGAGGACCAGCTGGGGCTCTCAAGTTATCGAAAGAGGGGGCCTGCAGTCCATAGAGTTATCATTACCTTCCACCCCAGAAATCTATACTCTCTCTGAATTACAATACGGTTGCAAAACGGTCATAATTTATTTCCTTCTCCTTAATGTGGGGGGAGGGGCGCCACCAATTCAAGGCGCACATGCAAAAGGGGCACAAATGAGTGATGCGAGCTACTCTGTCCTATTTCTGTGCAGGGTCTTGGCACAGGCCATCGGGCAACTGAGTATTGCTTCTGGATTCCCACTGAGTTTAAAAATTCAGTTGTGGCCGTCTTAAAATAAGCTTCAAAAAGGATGTAACAGTGCAAAGATGGCCAGGTATCTAGGCAGCTGGACTGCGCCGCATCCTAATGGCGAGAGGATAGCAGGGATCGCCCTTCCAAACCTTGCCCACCGGCACCTCACACTTCATGCTTCCCTGGATCCTTAGAGACCTCGGGCGGATCCACGTGGTGAACTCCTTCACACTAGGGGTGAGTAGACACCTTTCCCCAGAGAGGGAATCTGGAGAAGCCAGGTTGAGCTCAGAGAAGTACCCTGATGCCGGTGGGGTCCTGCAAGGCGAGGTATTCAAGGAGAGAGGGGCCCCGCCCTCCCCTCCGGGGTGCAGGCGTGGCCGTGGCACTCACACAGGTTCACTGCGTTGAGCATGCCTGTGTAGGGCAGGGCGCCCACGAACTGGTACAGGAGGCCCACGCGGTCCTGGAAGGCACCTTTGAGCACATCGCTCTGGACCCGCACAAGGAAGAAGAGGACGAACAAGCCCATGATCAGATTCTGAGCCAGGCGCATAAGCACGGCCAGCCTATTCCGCAGCAAGTTTCTCGTCACTCTCCTGAAAGACAGCCCCACTTTAATTCCTGTCCTGCAGGTGGACAGAAGCACCGACAACGGGCTGGGTCTCTTACCTCAAGAGAACACACAGTTTAGAGAGAGCTCCGGGGGAGTCTCTGGTTTTGAAAGGAACCATCTGTACTGTTTTCAAGTGTTTTGTTCTTTCAATATTCTCCAAGATTTTGTGATAAATTGCTGACTCTCTGTAGGCAGACTCAATCATCTGGACTCTCTTGTAGGTTTCCATTTCCCGTTCTTTGCTTTGGGTATCCACTGATGTCAGGTCCACTAAAATTTTCCCCCAAAAGAAATAACCCATGTGTCTTTAAATGCACATATATACACACTGGCTAATAATATAGGTTTCATCATTGGTTTAGGAGAATTAGCTATAAACCTCATCCCACCAGAATAATGCCTGCTGTTAATACCCACCTTTAAAATCAGAATATTTTAAAGCTACCACCAGGGCCATAAGGATCCCACCGGGGCTGTATGGGGGAATTCAGAAGCTCAGCTCATTTTTCTCTGACAGAGAAGGCATGCCCCAATTTAAAAGAGATTCCCCCATCTCTTTCTCATAGGGTATGGCAAGTTGATTGACCTAGCCAAATTAATTTCTTGAGGATTATAAACACCAAAAATAAAACCCACTAATGCTGGTGTCACCCAGGCAGAAATCTGAGGTGATCAAGTTCAAAAAATATTTATGATGGTGGGGAATGTGAATGAAAAACTTACTATAAAAATCAAAAGGGTTCGAATGTTCAGGACAAGGGTAACCGCAGCCGCTGAAGAACTCGAGCATTTCCGCCGGTGTCCCGCAGAAAACCAGCTCTCCGAAGCTCAGAATGGCGATTTTGTCAAAGAGCTGATTGGACAACAGATGGTATTAGTGTGTAACCAAGTCTCCAGATCCTTATAGAAAAAAGTTTCCAAGCAGTCAGTCCTTCAGTGACCTCAGCCACGCACCAGTGTTCTTCCTGCATCCAGGGGGACGCTCACAATGCACCCCTGTTCTTTTCAGCGTGGGCTGCCCCTGAGCATCCGGCCTGTCCCCAGCACCACATCTGGGTGGAGGAGAAGGACTGGGCCTGAGCAATGGACCTGAGTTTGAGCCTCAGCCGTGCTACTGAGTTGCCTTGGACAAAATATTTTAAAAAACCCCAACTCAGATCTTCATCTATAAAAGGCAAATAATAGCTCCTTAAGATAATCCTTAAGGAGGATAATCCTGGAGGATAAGTGAGACTTTTGGAAGAAAACTATGTGATTTAGTGGGAAAAAACAGCCTTTGAAGCCAACTGGAAACTTCCAATTCCAGCTTCTTATTAACTGTGTGATCGTGGCTCAATTTTGTATGATTTCTAAGTCTCGTTCTTCTCTGTAAAGTGAAAATACTGACACACCCCTCACAGGACCATTGTATGGATGAAATGAGCTGGTGCGTGGAAGGTATCTGGTAAATGGCAGGTGCTGAAGGAAGTGCGCTCCCATCCTTCGCCTTTCCCATGTCAGGAGCTATTGGCTCCAACTGCTCTGGTCGAGCACTAATTAATCTCTACCCTGTGATCCTCAGCTCAGCAAACGCATGTACCACCCTTGACAAGCAGGAACAAGAGACGCCCCGCTCACCTGGAAGAGCTCGGAGCGGGGCTGGTGGATGGTGAGGATCACGATGCGGTCCCTGCGAGCCAGCCCTGCGAGGAGGGCGACGATCTGATTTGCAGTCATGCAGTCCAGGCCCGTGGTCGGCTCATCAAACAGCATGACCGCTGCCAGCAAAGAACGGGGAGATTTCAGAGTCACCCAGAATTTTGAACAGTTCCTAATTTGAGCTGGTTTACCCCATCCAAATGGTGCACAGTAAGAATTACCTGCCTGTAAACTCTCTTTCAGCCTAAGCCCTGGAGAAAAAACCTGACCTGGGAGGACCCAGCTCCCAGCTCATCTCAGGCTTAATCCTTGGGGGAACAGGGCAGCAGCTAGATCAGGCCCCCACATGGTGCTGTGGATTGTCTGGGCTCTGTCCAGGGAACCCTGAGAGGACCAGGGCTGGCAGGCTGGCACCATGTTGTTCATAAAAGGCCGAGAGGAGGCTGGTTTAAAAGACACAACCACATTTCGGGTCCAGTACTATCCAACACTAATAAGGTCTTTGGCACTGCAAAAAACTCGAACCTGTGAATCCAGGTCTGAAGTGGGCAGGTGTTTGGGTTTTTCACAGGACTTAACTGTCATTTATTTCTACCCCCAAAGTGGCAAGGACTCTTCAGAGCATCTATCTCATTTGCCTTCTAGTGACCTAGGCCCATCTAGAGCAGGCAGTCTTGGTCCCCCCCAGTGTGACTATGTCTTCTTTGAGGTGCACGCAGTGGTGCGGTTTCCCCAGGTGGTGGGGGGAGAGACCAACCAGGCAGGGGAGCCTGGTGACAGGCTACCCACTTTGACAGCCCCTCCCCAACATAATCACTTTTAAGTGTATCCATCAAAGTCCTACTTTAATTCCTGCCATTTCATGAATACTTGCAGTCACACTGAATCTCATGGCCGTCCACAGCAGACACGGTGATGATGCTCCTATAAGAAGTGAGGATGCACAGGGCAGGGCCCTCTAATTGAATATCAAAACATAAATGAATGTTTCTGAGTCCAAGAGCTGCTTGGTGCTTGGATGATGAAAGAGTAACAGGAACTACATGGTGCTTTCAAAAAAACCGGGTCTTCAGTTTGAAAAACCTCAATGCAAAACCCTTTGCAAATGGAGACTGAAGAAAGGGCCTGACGTGGAAGATGCCGAGGCAGCATTCGGTGGCAGTTCTGGGTCCCACTTACTGGGATCCTGGAGGAGCTGTGCTGCGATGGAGACCCGCCGCCGTTCGCCACTGGAAATTCCCCCAAAGCTGTAGTTGCCAATCAGCTGGTCTGCCACGTGGCTCAGACTCAGCTCGGCCATGACCGCCTCCACCTGTGGGAGACATAAAGCCCAGGAAGGCTGGTCACCGCGGGGCGGCTGTTCCAAGTCACAGCCTGAGGACGGCGTCGGTGCTCGGGCCACTTCCAGACTCACCGCACCCTGGGGAAAGCACGCCTGTCGCAACAAAATCCAATTTGGTTCTAATCACAACATAATACATGCAGCTGATTAAAATAAATAATATGAATTGTTTTAAAAAGTCCTTAGAGCAACAAAAACTGCTTACACTTGCTTCCCGGCTATTCTCCAGGAGACAGTGGAGTCTTCACTCAACTCCTATTTTCAGGACGTCAGTCAGTCCAACCCGCACAGAAAAATCCCCCAAAGGCATAGTTACAACAAAGCTTGTTTCTTTTTAGTGTTTGGGTTTTGAAACTTCATTAGAATAAATGTTTTATATGTCTAAGAAAACCCTATTTGGCTTGAAATAAACCTGATTTCCCTTATGTAACCCAAATAAGTCCTGGAGTCCCCTGTGGTCCAATCTCAGTGTGGTTTTGCATCAAAGAAATATAATCCAGCTATCGAAAGTAATTAAAAGTGATGCCAATCTTCACTTGAATCTCTCTAAGGACTTTAAAGGGAACCCAGTTTATAACTTACAGCCACACTTCTTAAAAGTTCTTTGCCCCCAATTCTCTCCCTCTACTTATCTTATCCCCTGTGGCGCCCTGAAATCTCTCCTTACCCCTCATTTTCAACTCCCCCCAGCAGTAACAAAAAAGTCCTTCCTGACTGATCAGGAAGGTTGGTCTTTTTCCTCCCTCTCCTTCTCTCCTTCCTCAGCTTATCCCCTCTCCAGAGACCCTTCAAAGGTCTCTATTCCTGGCTCTCCCCTCACGGAGTACCCCAACCCGCAGAAGGCCCTGGGAAAGCAGAGAAAGGGACTGAAAACAGTGATACGTATGGCAGTGATTTTTGTTTCCATACACCTCTAAGGAGATAGTGTTACTTTTATAATGGGGGGGGGGGGACACTGTGTTATCAAAATAACAAAACAAACTAGCTTGGAGTAAAAGGGGACGAGTTGTGGAGCAGTGTTCCAGGGGCGGCGGGGGCAGGGGGGATCAGCATCATAGGTGGAGCTTTGACCAAAAGAAGGGACACATCTAAGCAGAGCAGAGCAGCAGCAGGGAGGTTAAACACGCGTGAGTAAACCAGTAAGGTTTGCGGTGGGAAAACGGGGGGATCTCGTCCTGCCGCGAGAGGAGGATCCTGGGACTGGGCTCTGGTGCCCGGGCCAGGTCTGTGCCCTCAGCAGCCAGGCCGGGCTCCGCAGTGTCCCCTTCACCTGCTCTGCAACAGCAGGAGGGGAGTAGGGCTCGGCCTCTGGCCCGGAGGGGATGGCCGGACAGGGCGGCCGTCCGGCGCCCGTTTCACATGCCTCAGCCCGCAGGGAGCCTCTCCCACGTTTTGTAAACACTGTTGAGAACAGAATTCAGAGTCCTCGAAGGGACGCTGGGGACCCACGGAGCCCCAGCCTGCTCCATGCGTGCGTCCTCGGAAACCGCCCCACTCCCCGCGCCCGGGAGGCATGGCTACCGGCCGAGTCGTCGCAGAGGCGGCGCCGGTCCTCCGCGTCCGCGGCTCGCCCAGGGTCAC